TTATTATTATTATTATTATTATTATTATTATTATTATTATTATTATTATTATTATTTATATCAATAATTTATTTTTTGTATAAAAATCTGCCGTAAATAATTTTTGTTTATTTATTTATTTATATATATAATTCTGTGATTATTTCATTATTAATTAATTTATTTATTTATTTATTTTTATTGTTTGTTGTTTTTTTATTTAATTTAAATTAAAATAATTTAAGTATTTAAAATATAATTTATTAATTAATTTAATTTTATTTCAATTAAATTCCAACAATGTTTTAAATTTTATGTGCACTTAGCACAGTTTTTGCAAATTTAAACCTGTCAAAAAATAAATTTAATTTCAATTAAGTTTACTTTATTCATCGTCCGTTGCTGCCATTGAATGAAATCTTATATTCCATGACCAATTTAAGATTTAAACTCAATAACGAATTAATTGCCTTAAATAACCCAATTGTCCAGCTCTGTCTGCTGCACTTTAAATAGCCGTAATCCCCGGCTTAATTCCATTTATCCTCGGCTCACGGCTTTTTAGTTGGCATTAAGTGGCAACGTTTTGGCGTCGGCTACGTGCGAAGCGTTCAAATCAGCAAATTCGACTGAACCCTTTGGCCCAGTTATGAGCCAGCTTTGTGTTGTAGTGCAATTAGACTGTGGGACTGTTGAGTTGACTGATTGTTGCGCTTGAGTGCACAGCGACCCAATCGTAAGGTGAGAAAAAGGTACAAAAAATGTCTGATATTTTCGGTCATTCATTAGGGATAGCCCGGCGGCATTTAAAATACTATTCAACCCACATCACGCTCGGGCTGACTGAGAGTTAAAACTACTTTCATATGCTCTAAGCTTCGTAAGAATTTGTAAGTCTTTTGCACGCGTCTTTAAGCTCCATAAATTCAAATACACGAGATTCACCGAAAGGTTAAAGAAGCTTCCGCAAATAACCTGACCAAACTGCTACGTGCCTGGCATAAGAGCGAATCAGATAGCAGAGGCTCGTTAACAACTAAATAATAATAACAGCAACGGCAAGATGAGCTCCGCTAGCATAGCCAGAAAATTAGAAAAGCCAAACATAGGTGAGACGCATTCGAATATTACGCATACGCCCCGGGCGCCAGCAAAAATTAATATGCAAACGCCGTTGTAGCTGGAATACATTGAGTGTAATGTGCCCGCCCACAAAATTACTACAGATTACAAACTTAATGCATTTCAAAGTTTTTCCCGCCCGCCTACAAGACTGAGGATGAGCTAAAAGTTTTCGGCCCGTCCCCCCGCCCCCGCCCGCACCGCATAAATCGTTGAAAAAGCATGTTAAAGCTAATGCGTAATGCGTTGATTTTTTAAGCACCCTCACTCTGTGCTAAATGAACTTCATTATCTACACCGAACTGAAATGCATACAAAAGGGCGCCCAATAAAGAAAAATATACATGCCTGTTCAATGTTGGCCACCACCGCCAGGTGGCGCTGGCTGTGGTTTTCATATGATTTGTTGCTGGGTTTTTCTTCTTTTTGTTGACTTTCCTTTTATTTTGTTTTGGTTTTGTTTTTGATTTTTTTTTTTTTTTTTGGTTTCAGGTCACGTAGCCGAGAGTAAAGTGCCTCCGTCTTTGGTTCAGATTGTGTCTGCGACCCTTTTAATGGGTTGGCGACTCACGCCGACATTTACACGATTTTGTAAGCCGCTTTGCCACAGACTGCTAATTTTCCGATGTCCACACTGAAACACAATGTGAAGCGATAAAGGCAACTGAATAT